TTCGATTAGCTTGATGTTAACATGCTTATTATGGTATAGAGTCTGTATTTCCCAAAGTCACTTAGAGCCGAGTTGTTGTCCACCTTACAAGTGTTTATATCGAATGACATTTTGGTTGATCACATATAAAATTAAGCGAATATTACCGTTAGGCTCGCCATGTGCGTGTATGGTCTATTGGTTGGACATATTGGACAGCAAATAGGTGAACAATGTTCCGGGTGAGTACAGGGACAGCAGTTCTATCACGAAACTTGCGCTCTTACGCGACGTTCTGTGATCTCAAGTTATTTAGACATTGGAAAAAATCAATACATCTGGTCGGGATTACTGACTGATGTCCAAACCTAAGAAGCTTCTGTGGCTTGCATACACCATAAGTCATTATTATGTTTAACGAAACGATCGTGATGACTGTCTTTAAAGTTCGCAAATTTGTGATGGAAATACAGTGATCAGTAAAATGAGTGAAGGTAATAACGACCACAATGATAATGTGTGAATCCAACTTATTCGCATGGTAGCTTTTAACTTGTTCTATGACTGACAAAGCCTAATCAACAATCGTCATGTCTTGGTTCTACATTTACAAACGTTTAGACAGACTCTCAACACTCGTAGGGGAAGGACTAAGCTAAGGGCTATCTGAAATTGAAGTTTACTCATGATGGCGAAAAATGGGTTCGTATACCAAAGTGTCACAACAGGATTCACCAAAGTCACTTTCCTGTGCACAGGGAGCCTATTTTTGTTAATACTAACCCGGAAGTTAGCTAAATATTTCCCATGTCATTAACCGGGAATGTCTCATGTTTGCGGGTTACTGGTTTATTCAGTCATAAGAGATCTCCATAATATCTTATTTGGTAAGGTCTTCTCCACTTGTCACTTAAAGTGCACAAATCCACTGCTTTGTAGGTCAGCTTGTATTTCGGGGGGTTGCTTCACTATGGAATGTCAGCTGTCACTTCGAACTTTGGTGTTGCATGTGTTTCTCAATGCTAAGTATGAGCTATGATCAAGACCATTTAGGAAGCTTTTCAACATTTGCTAGGCTCTCTCGTTAGCCTGTAGCAGGCGTTCTGTGCCTTTCTCAACTCTGGATCTTCTCCCCAGGTGTATGCTTTGCTAATGTTTGGTTTTCCAAGAAAACATTCTGAACGATATGCATCACTATCTCGTAGTGGTCACCCATTGCGTCGAGCCTGTTAAAGATGATCTCTCATAGTCGTGCAGTGTGCTCTATTGTAGCTAAGTCAGCGAGTGTACTTATCTTTCTAAAGTGTCTCGTCCGCGACCATGATAAACATCACTGCATCATAGTCACCACTTCCCATTACCGTCCCTTTTATAAGCATTGGTTTTCATGTTTTTTACACCAACTACAGAGTAAGTAGGATATAAAAGTTAAATTATCACCTTCATTTTCCGATCAGTCGTAGTGACAGTAAAATATGGTTGGTCACTGAACGTAGACAGAAAAGCACTTAGCCTACTGACTATCACACATGTGATTTCCTTTCGTCTCATTGATTTCTACTCTGAGTGGAAGAAGTATAAACTTAGGGTGATAAAAAAGCACCACGTGTTCGCCTTAGGAGCAGGTTCATCACTAATATTTGATCATACATGTCTGTAGTGTTGTTGCTTCCTAACCACACGATCTTTGAAGCTGAACATATAATTGCTAAGAAAATTTAAATCCGACATGTGACACCAAGAGGAGGTGGACGCGAATGCAATCGATCAATATAGCATGGTCGTTCTGCGTAACGTTTTCCTATGTGTTGGGGAGATCCAGAAAACTCCTCGAAAAAAGGCTATGATAGGCTCCGAAAACACCGAGAAGCATCTTATCCAATCAGCGTTCACTAGAAGTTTAACCAGAAACATCTAGAGGTTGGAAAGGGACATTTCGAGTTTCTGGTTGAATGGTTATTACACTGCTGATATTTTTAGTAGCATGCTATAACTCTCGGGAAGACCCAAGGATGTCTAATATACTATAAAAACCCTATATTTTCTGTACATAAACGAACATTTGGAGTAAAATGTTTCTTGCATATTTCGGGCCTTTTTTCTGGTGTTCAAGTCGCTGTACGGTTCTAGGTTGGGGGTTACTAAAAAAGCTTAGGAACCGAATATAGCGCTAAATTAGCAAGAGCTTTAACTGTTCACATTAAATATATTATTCTTTCCGCAACGCAGAATGTGTTCTCCTGAAGTACTCAACCTAGACATTACCATAAATGGAGAAGTGTTATCTAGGTTACATACAGTAGTAGACTTAGGACTTAAATATTCCCAAGACTTGTCGTTTACAGAACATATATCAAAACAGACCTCTAAGTCTCAACGTCTAATAGGTTACATAACTCTAAATCTTTACAACACTGAGTCACGTATTCTAATGTACAAAGTTTGTGCTCGACCTCTTCTAGAATGTTGCATGTTTACTCTTAGCAGTGCGCTCATAAAGGATAAATTAAGGCTGGAATCAGTACAGAGACGATTTACACTTCGTATTCTTGGAGCTGATTGTAACTTAACTTATAATTCTAGATGTAATAAACTTGGCCTAGACCCTTTATGGAGGAGGAGACTCAAACTAAATCTTATCTTTTTCTTCAAACTACTTCATAAACTATCGTTTACATCCGATCACGCGATTCAATATGCAGAAACCTCTCATTATGACATCCGTAATTCCTTGGCACTAGTGAAACAAACTCATTCGAAATCATCTCTTTATATGAATGACTTCCCCTGTAAGTTTTCTAGACTCTGGAATAACCTACCACAATCTATCCGCACGATAAAATCACTCCCATTATTTGTTCGCTGCATCGATTCATTCTGCTCCTCTGAAAACGCATTGGATGGTCTAGCGCCTTCAAGTGTATCTGATTCCACAAGTGATATTTTGGGAACCCTAAATGTTTAGCCATCCTTAATAGTGAATTCCCTTAGTAAAACCACCCACTTGCTGTCAATATGTTAACACCGCCCCTAGCAATTTTAACTAATTTGAATAACATAAACAGTATATCACTGTCACATGACACACGCATTTAGGTAGACCTGATTGATATATTTTGGTAATTACTGTTTTGTTGTTCCGTGCTCTCTGTTTTCGTTTTAATTTCTGTAGTTGTAGATAATTATCATTAATTCGACCTGGCACACGAATTGACCTTAATTACACCGTTCATAAATCCACAGGCTGTCCATTTAAGAAATATTAAAAAATTCCCGGCATTGGATCGCTGTAATATATGTACTACTTAAACAACTACTGAACTAGTATACTTGCAACTTTCTTTTATAACATGTTTGTTCTGCACGTCTAACGTTATTATTTATATCAAATTGATCATGCCTGTAAACTGGCGTGAATTCTGTAATTATTATTTTTCAGAATAAAATTATTATTAAACATATTGCTGACTGTCATTACAGGGCGAGTCTGTATAGACAGTGATATGACTTACATTAGATAGTCACATAATGACAAATGTATAATTTTGGGATCAGGTATATTATTATAGTAGCGAATATAAATGTACAAGTACTGAACCAGACTATAATCCTTCATGTCTTTGAAGCATCGGCCGTGCATTTTGGAGTAAGCCATGGCTTCATCAGGAAAAGGGTACTAGGTAAAGATTAGGAGTCGGCTGATGAGTTAGTATATCTACTGAGTTGGCTGGGACATATGTGACTTTTGACAATCTGCTGCCTTCCTCGAGAGGCGATACTGTCTCGTTTATGATCAAGTCGGACAGAGAATACAGGAGATCAAACCAAAATTCAGCAGTAATCCATGAAGTTACTGACTTAATATCATCAATGTTGCTGGATGCAGACCACATGATAAGAGTCCACACAATTATCACAATTAGTGGTTAGACACTTCGAATGACATAGCCTGAAAATCGCTTGGGTGAACCCATTCTTTATCATCCCCTAGATTTGAAGCTTCTAAATTCTCCGTAATTTTTCCACTACTTTATACTTTATTAAATCATACCTCTGGTGCCTAATCTTCTCTGCTTCTACTAATTTCACTACGACATTCATTACTCCAGGGTTCGTCTGGAAAATATCATGTTATTTTCACTTGGTTTAGTAACCTGAACTGATATACATGTGTATTCGGTTCTACGTTTGCTTCAGTTTACTGGGTGATTAGGTCCGGACAGTGAGTTAAGTAGCAAGTAATGTCGAAGAAACGTGAACTTATAAGGAATGGGAAAGATGTTAATGACCAACTTATCTCATGCTGTGAGACATTGGGCGCACAAAACAATTTAGTGGTAAAATAGCACAATTTCAGATTTTGATTTGTATTGGTGGGAGCCATCTCATCTATCTACAAGTTGGCTCTAGGAGAACAGCTCAGTGGAAACAAACAGCCATGTGAAATTGCATTGTGTGGATCACCCTCACAGCCAAAAACCGTGATAGGCTTCTCTGTATAATTATTTGAGAGAAGTCTGGAATACAAAGTGAATACTTGTAAATTACCGTCACGAAGCTTGAACAGTGAACTGGTAGATAGTGCGAGACGATAACATATCCATAAATTTCACTTCCCATAAGTGATACGCTATTTCTCTCTCATTATTATTGCTGACGATATTGTTGAAACCTCCTTCTTTTTATAAAGGATTCGAATGTCTTAGAATAAGCAAACAACAGTTCGAAAACCTGACAAGACTTCCTTCTTAGAAGTAAAGGATGTATCTTATCAAGAGCGCTACATCCGAAGATGTGATTAATTTGCTGGTTGGAAATATCGTAAATAACTGCCCACGTGACAAATATGAGAAAACAATGAAGAAAACGAAGACCAAGTTAGCAACAGAACAATAATAGAAAGAATACTGGAGCGCAACAGTGATGAAAATGTCTTTTACTAATCCTATGCTTTTTTCGAATAAATGAATTTGTCTCGTTTTTGGCACATATTTAAACCCTAAACAATCGGTATTCGTTCCTTATTTTTGTATCAAGTGAGTTCTTTTAGAATATTAGTTTTGAAGCCGTGTTAAACTTCCCTGGTAATTAAAATGTAATACATTTCTGCTTTATTTCACACTTTCAGTTAATTATTCACTGGAAAACCTGGAGTATTGTTTGTAGTAATATCGAAACTTGACTTACACTTCATTACATTCAGAAAGGTAGTACATTACTCGATCCGAATGAGAGTGTTATAGATTTATATTATGCATGTTATACCTATAAGCAGATAATACACTCAGTGTAACGTGGTCACAAAAGTCAGATTTACATTCAACATATTGGTGACTTAATTTATTGAACTGAATGGTCTTATGTCTGTTCTATTGCTTATGAACGTTAGTCTAGGTTTCTACACGAAGCGTTCGTCACGATTTGCCGGTCGTATAATTCTTTCGACTTTGTCTAACGTTTTTCTCTGTGTGCCATCAATAAGGTATAACATGAAACATCTGTATGTCTAATGTACATAGTCTTTTTTTCAATTTCATAGCATCTTGACTTTATCATGGTTCAATATAGCTTGTCATTGTTAACATAATGGCTCCCAGTGTCTTATGTTCGTATAACTATTATTATCTATTCTTTTTGCATACTTGCTAGTTTTCTTTCGTTAAATGTATCACTGCAAGTAGTAAGACGAGATGTTTTCCGTACTTTGAAAAATACAGAAAAATAAAGCGGACGAGACTTTGATGTCTACTTGTATGTCAGGACTTATGCGGGTACTTGCTTCTAGGATTTTTATTTTGGGTCCTCTATAAACTGAATACAGGACGGACTTGTTGTCACAGGTCGATACGGGTTGATTCTAATTCGTTAACAGCTCAGTAAACTTTAAGGATACTGACCAACAATATCACATCTGGCGTGCCTGGTAACTTTTCCCTCTAACTATTTAAGAGCCCCTTAATTGATAACTCCAGAGATCATTTGTCACACGGTTCCATGTTTTATCAGTCTAATATTGAAAGGCACAGTTCATAGTTTTCATGGATTCTTAACTAAGCTATTAATAATGAAGTATTAGCGCCCCAAATTAAATAAATTCAGCTAGGACTTGTTTGCAATAAATGATGTCTATGGTGATGTTAGAAAGAGGTCATCACTTTGTACATGTCGATCGATGGTCAGAGATATGGTAACACAACAAATGACGAATAATAAAGACAATTTTGAAAGAACTCCATAATATATAATTTTGTTAAATCATCTCGCTACTTTACAGCTGGCTTCTTAATTCACTAAAAATATCCAAGACATTACGTTGGAACAAATATGAATTCAAAATAAAGCCTTTACATTCTCGGTTGGAGAATAAACTCAGCTTTTTTAGTTTTTACTCAAGCTGTATTACATATGTATATGCTCAAATACAACAGGTCTACTGACTGATCAATTTAGAGGAACATTAGATATATATATGTATTTAGTATGTAGGTGAAACCAGTTGGGCCTACATAAAATGGTTCAAAATACTATGAAACATTTGGACTCCATTGTTTCATCACTATGTCATGTTTTATACTTTATGTTTTCATGATTCAACATATTTTTTGCTCATTTAACTCCTGCGTATACATAAAATAAATAACATTTGTTTGATCATAGTATATGGTAAGCAGTTGTTTATCTTTCAGAAGAACTTTCCAACATGTGGACTGAGAGTAGTGAATCACCATGCTTGGGATCAGTGCCAGTCGTTAAGGGAAAGTTTGAAGATATGCCCAAATCTGCCCAACGCTTTGTTGCTAAATGGGTAGGTAATGTTATATATAGACGCTACTGTATCGCACTAAATTATTTTTAACTTCGATTTGCGTAATGTGTTTTGTGTCTACAAATTTTGTTGATGCGTTCAACCGTATTCATAGATTTTTTTGAAGATTTATTTAGAAAGAACCTAAAAATAGGAGCTCTAACTTGTAATCACACAAATTGACAAATGAACCAATTTTACAATTATTGTATCAGTTATAGAATATAATGCGACTTTCGAATTCAATGTAGTTCAGGCATGTCCGAAATAGTTTGGTTTTCTTTCACCATATTTTATCGATCGCAGTAAAAACCAAAGTACGGCATGGATTGTTAATGCTACGTAGTGTTGGAAAATCATAAAGAAAATGGTTATAATTTTCCTTACCATTTATAGTGGAGTGAAGCCTGACGAAAATTGTTTTTGGTGATAATGCAGTATATTAGGTTTTGAGCAAAAGTTATTTCAATTATTGAGTTACTAGCAATACATAGTTTGTTTGATCTGCGAAATGATTACCATAGGTAAAAAGGTTACATTCATATATATATATATATATATATATATATATATATATATATATATATATATCGTAACTCTGACCACATGATTAAAAATTAAGACGACAAACACTTAACGTGTGAATAAAATATCAATAATAAGATTTCATGAAATTTTAATTATAGTTAACCCTATTATAAGTTATAAGTTTGGGTAGGTGCTAATACACGAGAGTTTCATACTGAAATACATAATCTTTTTATTGGATATACCCCATACTTCAAACTGAAATAATTTACTGTCAGTATAATGTAAAAAATACATTAAATAACCAAACGACGTTTAAAGAAGTGATGTATAAATGACTAGATTTGCAGAACAAGATAAGTTTCAGTGATTTCTGCAATTTTTAAAGTGCTCTCACTTGAAAACATCATTTGAACCGTAAGAGCAAACTCTGATGTGTGTTGAGTTTTCTAACCTACAATAAATACCAATATGTTTATTCACACTGAAATTTATGGGGTCTGTATGACCTTTTTTTAAGATGTCGGTAAAATAAAGACTTATAATGTTTCTGATCGGCATTATCTACTACTTTCTTCCTTGTATCTATGAGGGACTACAACAAAAAACTCATTATAAAGGAATCAATTTAACCGACTTAATTAGTTAGATCCTAGTTTTCATAAATCTCTAATGCTTAAATAAGGCTGGAGAAAAAGTGATTCACATGGTATCGTATAGGTTTCCGGTATTACCATGAATGCACCAACTAAGTATGCACTCCTTATTAAGTTACATAGCACGCATACAAGTAACAGTATCCTTACAAACTGATTATTATCATAAATAACTAGTTTAGCATGCAAATACTATTCATAAAAATATGAATTGTTTAAAACCTACTCAACAGTGCGGAAAATTAGGTAGATTATAAGATTCGTACGGAACAGTCTTCCTTTTGACTTACGCCAGTCTGCCAGCGGAAGTTACATTTTCAGATTGAATTTATTTTAGTGTAAATCTGACTATTTTTGCTATAGGCGGCGAATAAATTGGCTTTCCAATTTCTAACTCTCTTTGATATTGTTTAGTAATATATGTACAGTATGTCACTTAGACGTACCGTTTAGGTTTTAAAGTACACGGTTACATAATTTCAAAAAGATTTTTAGTAATTCTGAAATATTTTATTCATTGTTTTAAATCTTTGTTAAACAAAATCAGGTGGAAATATGTAAGCCAACAGGAGTGTACATATGTGATGGCAGCAAAGAAGAACGTGAAGAACTTACAAAAAAATTAGTTGAATTGGGTTCTTTACATAAACTACCACCGTATGAAAACAACTATATCACATGTACTGATCCAAGTGATGTTGCTCGTGTTGAATCAAAAACTTGGATCTGTTCAGAGCATAAACATGATACTGTACCAGATGTAGCTCCAGGAGTTAAAGGTGTTCTTGGTCAATGGATTTCACCTAATGATTTGAGTACTGAAATTAAAGACCGTTATCCTGGTTGTATGGAAGGTCGTGTACTTTATGTGATTCCATTCAGTATGGGTCCAATTGGATCACCAATGAGTAAAGTTGGGATTGAAATAACTGATAGTATTTATGTTGTACTATGCATGATAATTATGACACGTATGCATCCAGATGTATGGGACGTTATTGAATGTTGTAAGGAGTTTGTTAGATGCGTTCATAGTGTTGGATGCCCTACTTCATCTCATCGTAAGTTTAAAAAGATTATGTTTATTATTAGTGTAAAACTTTAGGTCATGATTTATGAATCATTTATATGTTTCTGAATTTATACTGAAACCAATATTCAAGAAAGGTACTGAAAATCAAAAACCTGTTAATGTTTTTATTTTCCTAGTTTGTAACTTAATAATCTTGTGTTACCAAATTAAATTACAAACTCAAACAATGTGTTTATTTCAAGGAGATCTATAACCCACCCAAGTTAAACAGTTAATAAAAACATGAAAGCATGCGATAGAAAATCCTGGGTTTGATCTTTTGTGACCGGATTATCAGGATAAAATGTTGGAGAGTAATATACTAGGATGAACCGATTGTTTAATGCTTCTGGTTTTTCAATGGTTGTTTAACTTAATTTGATTCATGATCTCAATTAAATTCAACAATCTCCACGATCCCAATACTCATAATTCATTTATTCCCTACTTCATTATTTTTAGTTGTTTACTTATAATTAACTTTGGTTAAAGTGCCAAGCCGTTTCCGAACAAATAATCAGCCAGTTATCGACGGACATATCAGTAATAACTTCGTTGAAGGATGTACTAGAATATGATAAAAATGATTCGATTGATATAAGTATATTAATTGGTTATCTTCAACTTGATAAACGATAAAAGTATTTTTTTCACCGTCTTTAAGACGTTAATGAATTACTATCACTTTAGTTTTCTCCAAAATGATAAATTTTCCCTCCATACTGATTGTTTAATTTCAATTGACTATTCATCTTTTTGGTCACTGCCTTAAATTCCCAAGGAAATATGTTCCTTCGTTTGCTTCTTTTCTCTTTGCTTTGAGGATACCAAGTATAAGCTTGCCCGGCGATTCAGTTTGATGACTGCCGCAATGTATGTCCTACCCATTTCCAGCGTCTTTTCTTAAGTTTATAGTGAAAATGATCTGGATATTATTGCATAATAAAATCAATAATTAAGTTACAACTGCCTTTTATAATGTCCAGATGAAATCATTTTTGATTAAAAGTTGTAATACAATAAACTTTTCACAATTGATTGATCACTGGGTGGCAATCAATGTCATTCGTGTCTAGTCCTCATTAGTGAAGATCGAATGCTATCGACGATGTTGCAATGTGACCACCAGTCTAGGTGACTCAACATTGCGGTCACTACATATCGAGATTAGATGATGTTTGGAGGTAGTCGACAATAAACTTTTGAAAACTTATACACCCGTTATTTTGGGGCAAACACAGTGTGGATGTAAATAAGCCATCAAAGGAGTTAGATTTCTACATGTACTAGTACGGCTGAAAGTTGGGAGAGTTAGCTCTCTCTCTCGAAATGTCCTCACATGGCCACGTGCATACAACCACTCCCAGGGAATTCCTATTCACTGTCTTCTAGTGACAGGGGTGTTTTTTTACGAAATTGACAGGATGGAAAGCGAATGTCCGGCGCTTTAGCCAGGTTGGTGGACATGGAGAGTTTACCTAGGGGAGTTAGAAAACCTTGATTCCAAACCGATGGTGCACATAGCCTCCAGTATCCTGAAGTAACAAATGGCGTATGAACCAATCGTTAGTCACCGGCTATCATGGGACTGCATCACCTTACGATGCTCAACTGCCTTATGGATCAGACCTTCAGGTCGAAGGCTCCGGGTGTGGCCCCCTAAGAAAACCACCTGCTTCGGTTTGGTCACCCGGGCAGTGTCTCTACCTTCACACAAATTGAATGATTTATGTGGCGCATATCTGTTTGATATCTTCTTGTACCAATATTTATGTGAATGGATTTTAAAAAAAGAAATCTATTCTTACAATGTTCAGAAAACTAATCTTTTAAATCTGAAACTCTTAAACAGTTTGTTTTTTTGAATAGTTCAAAAAGATTCATTGTATTTCATCTCAGCTTTAAACCTTTAATGAACCCTAGTGAATGATCATTTTCGACGATTGTTCAACTAAATAATCTAGTAGATAATAAGAGTAGTAGAACAAGGCTAATAATGAAATCCAAAATGGGCGTTCTATCCCATTTAAGACTCTGTCAAAGGTGTTTGCCATGTAGATAACATTATAATGTTCAAAAGCGATAATTATTTAATCGATAATGTTCAGAAGATATCACGTTAACACATCAAAAAGTGATCGGAAATTCGCTTCCTTGAATAAATTATTAATCACTATGAAATACTTATAATCTTTTCAGTAATAAAGTTTCTCATTAATCTATACTCATAAACTACTTACATTGAATGAAAATTTTATTTTATGTATTAACGTCTTAGGCAAAATCATCAATCATTGGCCATGTAATCCAGAGAAAACTTTAATTTCTCATGTACCTAAAGAACGTTTAATTATGAGTTTTGGCAGTGGTTATGGTGGTAATTCATTATTAGGGAAAAAATGTTTTGCATTACGTATTGCTGGTTGTATTGCTCGTGATGAAGGCTGGTTAGCTGAACATATGTTAATTATGTCTGTAACAAATCCAAAAGGTGAAGAGAAATTCATAGCCGCTGCTTTTCCTAGTGCTTGTGGTAAAACAAATATGGCTATGCTTGAACCATCATTGCCTGGTTGGAAAGTACAATGTGTTGGAGATGATATAGCATGGATGCGTTTTGATGAACATGTGAGTACTCAGTTTTGTTTTCTAATATCGGAGATTTATCAAGTCTATGTTTATAGATCTTAATGATTCTATCTAATTAGCTAATTTGTCTACTGATTTGAGATAACAATCTATTATCAGTGTTTATAGTTTAAGAAATACTATTAAAGACAGTGTCTCTCCATTAGAACATAACATGGCTGTTAGAGATAAATTGAGTCTATTCCATCAACAAAGGGTCATTTCAGATGTAATTTTTAGATAGTTTAAATGATCAGTCAAACACTGGTATCCTTCATGTTACTGGTTTTACCGTTATTTGTAAATGTTCAACAGTTTTCATGTTGAAATGTTACCCTACTTTCTTAAATCCTGTATTGAATTTTAATAATAGACAAGGATTTCACTCATTTGTTTAGTATTAATATATGATTGAAGCGGTGGTTTGATGGTTAAGGTATTGGGCTTTCAGCCAGTGGGCTCTAGGTTCGAAACTTACTCCACTTATTTCATTTAGGGCAAATGGGTATTACCACTAGCTCTCATACTTAAAGTACGGCTGTAAGCCTGCAACTGGTAACGAGTTAATAGTATGAATGATAATAAGTATTGTTATTTGTATCTACATCACTTATTATGATTATGTTTCCTTACATATATGCTAGGGTGTTCTTCGAGCAATCAATCCAGAAGCTGGTTTCTTTGGCGTTGCTCCAGGTACAAACGCTAAAACTAATCCGAATGCAATGGCTACATGTATGAAAAACACTGTTTTTACTAATATTGCCCAAACTAAAGATGGTCATATCTTTTGGGAAGGACTTGAAGATCAATATAGTCCTGATACAGAAATTATCACATGGCTTGGTGATCATGTTAAATTATCTGATAAAAGTAAAGATCCTAAAGCACATCCAAATTCACGATTTTGTTGTCCTGCTAATCAATGTCCAATTATTCATCCTAAATGGGAAGATCCACAAGGTGTACCAATTTCAGCTATAATTTTTGGTGGTCGTCGACCTGAAGGTATACCATTAGTTCTACAATCATTTGATTGGAAACACGGTGTTATGTTAGGTGCAGCATTAAAATCAGAAGCAACTGCGGCCGCCGAATTCAAAGGTAATTTTAATATAAAAACGATTTTATTCACACAAATATTCGTCAATATTTGAACGAATACTTCAATAGAATTTGGGCACCGAGTGTTTAGATCTATCCAACAAAGTGTTTTATCATATTCAATATATGTGCTGTATCTAGTACTTTTAAGCATTTTGTTTACGGTTCATTCACTTGATGAATCTGGGATTAAGCCCAACTGTCTGCTATGAATACGTCACTTAGTTGTAAAACCATATACCGGATAGAAAATGCAAATTTACTAAAAGTTTTGAATTGTATTGAACATTCTAATGAAAGGTATATTCTTATTGTTGGGGTGATCCAGAAAATTGCTTGCAAAAGACAAGCAAGCATCAGGAAACACTAAGAAGCGTTTCATCTAATCAGCGTTCGCTTGAAGTCTTAGCCAAAAATATCAAGGAAGCGAAACGTCACATGCATAGGCTCTGATTGGTTGGCTGCTACACTGTTATTATGTTTAGTTGCATTCCAGAATCTTCTAGCAACCCAAAGACATTTAAAATATTATAAAAACCCTGTATTTTCTGTCTTAAAATGAACCTTGGAGTAAACTACTTCTCGCGTACTTTGAGTCTTCTCTCTCTCGTGTTCAGGTTGCTGTATAGTTCTAGCTTGGGGGTTACAGAATATCTTAAGAGACGAATATAGCGTTCAATCCGCAAGACTTATCACTTATATTTTAGTATTCACTCACTAAATGATTCGTAAAATACGCAAAAGTGTTAGATACAGTACATTTATTGACCACTGAAAATGTGACGGATAAACTAAAATCAAATTTATGAATAAAACTATTTAAATGTTTGATAATTTTATATTTAAAATATATAACAATTTATGTATTTGTTTTACTACTGTGATGTGTGTTACTGATGTCGACAGATATAAGTAGTATGTATCATCGATCGAAAGTGAAATCTTGGCGGCAAAAGTTGAAGAAAATCGAAGAAAATATAAAAGGAACAGGGAATGACTGGTATGGAAACGAAGGAACAACAAAGTCTAAGATAACTAATAGATATTTTGCAAATGAAGTATTTACTGTATGGTACTCATAGTTTACCAAAACATTCTGTAATGTTGCATTAATGTACATTTAGTTGTCCCCGATTGTGTTCTTGTTCACTGTACTATATTTCCTAAAAAAATATTTAACATTTAATGAACTGCCTCAGTATAGTGATTACATGGTCGAATCATGCATAAAATTGTGTACCTTAAACGAGCGATTTATTGATTTATTCACCCTAGTTCTTCTAGATAATTGGTTCTTTAATAACTTTATTCTAGTGTAAATACACACCCAAGTAACTTTGTTTTTCCAGGATATAATTGGTGCTTCTTCATGAGTAGTCAGTCAACTGTTGATCATTAAACTACTGAGAAAACATATTTTATTGAATGTTTCTTGAAAATATTAGTTATTTAATTTCTCGGTGTTTTAGTTAACTGCCAGCATACGTGTAGTGAACGAAAACACACTAGTGAAGGCAATCGAATGTATTTGAATATGAAATCACAGAACATCTTAGTAAAATCTAAGAACTATACGACCAAACCATCCAGCTCAGAGAACAAAACTCCACCAAAATCATCCAGCTGAGCTACAAATCTTCTCCACTATACAGTAAATACTTTATTTGCAAAATACCAATCAATCATCTCAGACTTCACTATTCTTTTATTTCTACAACAATTATTCTCTGTCGTCATTCTCTTCGATCTTCCTAACCTACTGCCGCAAGATATTTCTTATTCGATTCATGATACATACTACTTATATCTATCGATATCAGTAGTACATACCATATACGTATTCATTGTTATTGTATTATAACTACGTTTAACTTTCTGTATTAAAAAAGAATCTATCCTAAACTGATAGGTATACAGTTTTAATATCAAGTAATTAGAAAACTATTCATAAACATTCTAATGATTTAGCCTTTTAAAATCGATTGTACATTTATTGATAAGGTTGGATGGAATTTAATTTTACCAACAGATCAGTTACCATCGATTGAGGAAGCACCTTCAAGGTCGAAACAGATGATTGTTAAACTAATATGTTAATTATTATAGCATATCATGATTGATTTCAAAACATAATTAACTTGGTTACAAAAAAACTGGAATGGTAAAAAAAATTCACTTGTTTATAATAGTGATGAGAAAATGGCTTTAAAAGAATGTAAAGTTATATGAGATGAAGTGATATTTCATACTTTACGCCAGGATAAATGTAGTGGGTTCTATCCAATTGATGTTCATTCTTCTCATATTTGTCTCTATTTCTCAGCGTAATGTGTTTCTTGGTCTTAAGAATTCCAAGTGAGAGCTTGCCTTGTGACGCAGTTGGGTGCTTTCCTCAATGTGTGTCTTACCTACTTCTAACAGTTTTTCGTGATTTCTTCCTCCGCTGGAATCTGGTTTGTTCTCTCCCACAGTAGGTTGTTGCTGGTAGTGTCTGGCCAACAGATCCGAAGTATTTTGTGTAGACAGCTGTTAATAAACACGATATTTCATAGTATTGCATATTAATGCAAATACGTAATCAAAGATTTGATTTAATATCTCTTTCAATATCAAGACAGTTTTAACTGTATGGGGCGGAAACTTAGAGAACTATGAAAGCCATCATCCAGAAAATACAAATGTTTATTAACAATTGTCTACGCAGAATTCTTCGGATCCGTTGGCCAGAAACTATTAGCAACAACCTACTGTGGGAGAGGACAAACCAGATCCTAGAGGAGGAAGAAATCAAGAAAAAGCGCTGAAAGTAGATAGGACACACATTGAGGAAAGTACTGAACTGTTTCACAAGCCAAACCCTCACTTGGAATCCTCAAGGCTAAAGGAAAAGAAGAAGAGCAAAGAGCACATTACGCTGAGAAATGGAGACAGATATGAGAAGAATGAACAACAATTGGATAGAACCAGAAACGAAAGCCCACGACAGAGTGGATTGTAGAATGCTGCTCGGTGGCCTATACTCCATTGGGAGTAACAGGCGTAAGTAAGTGTGGGTGATAGAACCCACTACATTTTATCCTGACAGACAAATAACAATAATCGACGGTACTGATGATGGATGATATCAGAAATTTCGTTAATCACCACAGGAGTACAAACCAAAAATTTAGAACCGAGCATCTTTAAAATTATGCAAATGATCCCTTAAAAAATCGTCCTACAATTATTTGAATGAATTTATTACTATTACCATTACTACTATTGTAGTGAACGTGACACGAGTGTGGACAATCTAATGTTTCAAAAAAAAATTACAGACTACTTCAATAAAGTCTGAATACCATAAAGTCAATCGTCAATTTGCAAAATATCAATGCATCATATCAAACTGGACTGTTTCCGTTGCAAACATTAATTCATTGTCTCCCATTCCATTGTACATGCATTTTCTTACAAATTCCATTGTACTCTCGCTCTTCCTTTCTTGATCTTCACCTCATCTTCCGCTGCCAGATATTACGTTTTAACTCGTGACATATACTACTTATAAGTAGCACACACCACACTATTACTATTAGCTATATTCAATATTATAGATTTTGGTACAATATAGAATTCACAGCACAATGTATTTCAACAAGTTACTGTTTCCTATTTTTTGATTGATCCTGACAATAAATATTGAGTGATTGTCATTTGAATGTTAGCAGTCCAGTCAATCGACATTTGAATAATGTACATTGGCTTCGATATATATATATATATATTGCCGTCAACCACTATATGTCTGAGTCGACCTTTTACAACTCATACAATGAAAGGTTGTATATTTTACATTATGCAATTAGTAGACATCATAATCTGTTGAAACAAACAAGAAAAACGGATAACTTGTTGAAATATCTATAGAACAGGAACCGTTAGTCCAGATATTCAAACAGGTCGTCAGCAATAAGCTGAATTCAAGATAAAAAAGATTAGACAATAATTAGAGAAAATTCAAAGCTGATGAAAAAAAATCTATATTCAATCCCTTCTCTTTCTTATTACGTAATAAATTACTTATTCATTTGAACTGTTTTTTGATTGGCTACAAATGTTGAGAATTTTTCCCAAGGTCATTTATTGATCGCTCAAATGTATCCCATACAATGATATTGATTTTGTTTTTCCCATTTTCTGTTTATTATCTCTTCTATATTGATTTATTGATTTATTTAATTTTTTTGATAAATATTTAGGTAAACAAGTTATGCATGATCCTATGGCTATGCGTCCATTTGTTGGTTATAATTTTGGACATTATTTAAATCATTGGCTTAGTATGGAGAAACCATCACATAAAATGCCTTCAATATATCATGTGAATTGGTTCCGTTTAAATAAACAAGGTAAATTTGTATGGCCTGGTTTTGGACAAAATATACGTGTTATTGATTGGATACTTCGACGTGTTAATGGTGAAGATATTGGTGTCAATTCACCAATTGGTATTTTACCTAAAAAAGGTTTGTTCAATTAGTTGCTAACTTGTGAACAATTTTTATTTTAATTTAATAGTTGAATTGATAAATTAATTGAGGCCAAACCATCATGGAAAACCTGAAAGTACTTGATGGCTGTTTCGTTATAGTATGGTACTCTTCAGCAATGTGTATCCACGATCTCAGGCGTCCAGTACTTCCAAGTTTTCCATGGTAGTCTAGTTTTAATTGACTCATGAATTCAACTATTAACTTACTATAATATCTACAAGACCCCCCCCTTTCTGATTTATTTATTTGTTTATTGTTTCATCGTTCATTAAGGACATAGTAATGTAGATAAACATCTAATTGTGTGTTAAAATTGTAATAGGAAACAAAATAGAGGGATAAGTGACATAGAAGGATCTCAATGTTAAAAGTTGGATGATAGAATAGAGTTCATATTGATTTAGACGAAACAATTTCTTCGGTATCAACGAAAAAAATTGGAAGTCTAGTAGAAAAAAAATAGTGATCAGAAGAAAAATTTACATCAATAGTCCAGAAGTTGTGAGACTCTTCTCATACTGTATTTACGTACTTTCCCATATCTCATTCTAAAGTTAGAATTTTTGACATTTAGAAAGAATTAAGTGTAAAATCATTCAAAATAAACTGCATTGCAGTTAGTGAGTGGTGGGAGGTTATTCGATAAACACGCTTCTCATATGCGAACTAAACTAGATACTTGATTGGGGAGACTCAAAATTGATTAGGAAACTTTTATTGGCTAAACTGAATTATATACATGCTCAACTCATTCACAAATATGTATCTGCCTCCTTCCCTCCTCGAATAAAACAAATTAGGCCAGATTTTCAATCAGTATTACGTAACTGTTACCTTAGAAAATGAAGCCGAATCTTGATCACTAGCGTGAACTCATTCATAACTCTTATTTACTTATTTAGCCTTGAACTGATATATCTGAGGGACATACCCTGTCAGTAAAATAAACATAACCGTATGTAATTAAAATGTTTCACATGGCATTTTAACATTAGATCATCAAGAAGGAAATCATTGGAAAACTTGGATTAAAGCCAACAATATCTTTCATTTATGAATGTGAGAACATTGAATATAGTTTTGATTGTGGCTATATGTTTGATTATACAACTACATTATCTTTCATTACTGTGATATTCTTGACGAAAAATGTTGAAACCCTAATTGTTTTGTAATTCATGTAGTCAGCATATTTTCATTGAAATTACACTACAACTATGTCATACATTTATACATAATTGAGATTGATGATAATTGATTTTCTCTTCAAGTGAATATGTAGATTGGAAAACAGGAAATCTATATGCATACTCGTTCTTTCGGATTACTTTGTTGAATCCTTGTGACATTTTAAGTAAATTATTTAATTTACCGAAGTTATGAGTTTTTGTTAGAGTTTTGTTCTTTAAGCTGAATAATTTGGTTGTGAAGCTTTCATCACCCTTCTAAATGACATCATCAGCACAAACTTCAGCTCAAAGAACAAAACTCCATCAAAATCATCCACTTGAACTATAAATCTTCTCCACTTTCTCAGAAGTCATGAGTATTCATATTACTTATTTTTTTTTCAGGCAAGTAAATTACCTATCAGATTACTACCAAGAACGATACCGATTTGTGTAAATCAGATTTTTCGTTACGAATCTTTATATGCACTGAGGTTATGGATACATTCATTAAATAGGTAGAATTGTCATTCTAGAGTTGTGGAGATTATTGATTGAGATCATGAACCGATAATTACCACGTGCTCATTAATGAATAGCTTCGTGAAGGAATTCTAGGAGTTCTAGTGAGAAGCCGTGACTAGTGAAGCTAATCCGTGTCAGGTGGAGACAGGTTTCTACCCCAGTACAATGGAAGATGGTCGCGCAATTTTGTGGGTTGGTTAAGGTTAGATATTAACACCGTTGAATACCGGTTCGCAGTCTAGAGGTTAAGCGTTCACGCGCGAGACTGAAGGCCCCGGTTTCGAATCCTGAGAGCGGGATCGTAGATGCGCACTCCTGAGGAGTCCCATAGTGAGACGAAACGGCCATCCAGTGATTCCAGGTTCTAGATGGTGGTCTAACATCAATCGGTTCATGATCTCAATAAATAATTGAAAATGATGTAAATATTTCAAATTTTATGTCACTTCACTTGTCTATTAGTTGCACAATTATAAATGTTACCGATAAGTGGATATAAACAGTAAAAATTCTCTGGTTTATTGTTGGAATACATTTGATATTGACTTAAAAATGTAATTAGGAACTAACATTACGTTCTATTCGAGACTCCTCAACCGTGTATGTACATTGTCTTCTCATTGCGATGTGTACTCTTTACTTATCGAATCGAATACACGAATCACAATAGCCATGATTATACTGAAGTAAACACCGAAGGTGACTGTTCCAATATATCAATGTGAAATTACAAACCTTTCAATGAGTTATTATTAAGTGGCTTATTATTATCATTATTCTTTTTATCACAGGTTCAATCAATTTCGATGGTTTAAACGTTGATTGGGATGAGAATTTTTCACTACCAAAGGATTATCTTTTAGAGGACATTGATGAAACAATGAAATATTTACAGGAACAAGTTGGTAAAGATTTACCAGCTGTTATTCAAAATGAATTAAACAATCAACGTGAACGTATTCAATCTCAACTTTAAATGGTAAATTTCATTTAACAATTAATGACAATACTGCAACTTGATCACTGAATAATGATCAATTTTTGTGTTTGTTTAATCATTTAACATTGAACGAAATTTATTAATTATTCAGTTGTAAATAACCCTGTCTTGCAGGAGGTCATTCACGGTCCGAATAATTCGGTAGTGGTATTTCAGACTGAATCTAGTTGATGTGAGCTCGAACCCTACAGGAAGTAACAGATTTCTCAAGACTACAAATACATCTTACTACAAAGTTAAGGTGGCCAGCTGAATGATTTTAATGTTGATGAGTTCTCTTTGTTAGATCATTTGTTTATAAACCGATTGTAATCTTTTGAAACAATCTCAATATCAACTTACTTTCATGTGTTTACTGTGTAGAAGTTCGTTCCGTCCTACTTTATGGTAGTGAAACATGACCGGTAAGAGTAGAGGATATTCGTAGGCTACTAGTATTCGATCATAGGTGTCTTCGAAATATTACTCGTATATCCTGGGACCATCGAGTAAGTAATGCAGTTGTTAGGAAACGGATACTAGGTAAGTATGGCAAATCAATTGATGAAGCAGTGAAACTTCATCAGTTGAGATGGCTGGGAAGTATGCCCAACCACCGTTTGCCCAGACATGCGATGTTTTATGGTGTAAGAGTAGATTGGAAGATTTCACTGAACAGTACTAAATTCCAGGTTCATAGTCTAAATTAGTAAATTCCAATTACATCGCCTAGCCAGTAATGAATGCATAAACCGCCTCAAGGTCACGACGGGTATATCAATATTAGCATATTGTCTGCCAATGATGAAATCAATGACCTCATTGAGATACTGTTGTCCAAAGGTTGTATAATGAGTAAATTTACTCCATAGTTCAGCTTTAATCTTATCATTCTGATCCAGTTGTTTATATTAACAAATATTATTACTTCAATAGTTGAGATCATGAGTCAAGTGAAGCTAGACCACCATGGAAAACTTGGAAGCACTGGAAAGCCGTTTCGTTCTATAGTGGGACTTCTCAGCAGTGCCCATCCACGATCTCGCCTCACGAGATTCGAACTCAGGACCTATCAGTCTGGAGCCAGCATCTAATGGTGTTAATGCCTAACTTTAACTAATCCACGAATTTGAGCGATACATCCATCATTGTCTTCAATGAGTTACTATCTCACAACAGACCTGGTTCAACTCCACTGGTTATAGCTTCTCACTATAATTCCAGGAAATACCTCTTGAAGCTAGTCACTAGTGAGCATATACTGATTAGTATCAGAAGGGGTTTTTATAGATATATTACAGTAATTAGCTGTGTACACTACAAATTGTAATTATTCTGTATGCTTTCTTACTTTTTTCCTCATAACTTCTTGAAGAATAAATCAGAGGAAGAAGAAGAAGACGATGACGACGACGATGAGAATGAAGAAGTCAATGTCTAATCATTTTCTTTGACTTTATGTGCTTTCTAATTTTTTTTTGTTTCTTGTTGCTGTTGTTATTGTTGTTAGCTAACTTCTATTGTTGTTCGTAGACATTAATTATAACTTGTTCTTTTTGTTTTTGTATTACTTTTAATATTACTACTAATACTACTACTCACAATAATATTCATTTATATTGTCGTTATTGTTTTATGGTAGTATTCTTAACATTATTGTGATCCAACGAACCTTTTCAATGAAAATACAATACATTACAATTCCTTTCTTTCTCTATTTTCTTGATTCATTATCGTTTCGAATGATTGATTCGATCATATTTGTGAAATGTTAATGTTGTGTATATTGAGACTCCTTAGTAAAGGTTGAATTGATATGTTGAAATGTCTTGAACGAGACGTTAGATTCAATGTGTGACTGCGTGTGTTATTATTATTATTATTATTATTATTATATCCGGAAAGTTTATAAAATGGTATTATTTGGATTAGTTTTTGTTGTGACTGTAGACTGCAGATTAGAGCGAAGCGTATTATCGATCGGACCAAAGATGCGTAAAACACGTAAGAACGACCTAAAGTCCTGATTGACCCTGCATCCCTGTCTAGTCCAGCCAGTTGAGTCCAGAACGTAAGTCTCAGCCTCTGAGATATCAATCATTATATTTCAAGCATATTCTGTTTATATACCAGTCAAGCAAACCACATCGTACCATAAAATAGAAAATAACATTTGTACAATATTGACCAGTAGGAAACGACACGTGAAATAAATATTGACCAATAAGAAAATAATACCATTTCAAGTCCAAGGCTAGCATTAGACTTAACAGGATAATTTTGGGGATATTTTTCTGAATATCCCAACAGTTTTATTGATAGTTATGTTAAGAACAATGATTGTTAAGGGAAAGTATTCGTTATGTAACACAACCCTTGTGGTGGTGGTGTAGTGAACGAGAACACAGGTTGAGGCAACAGAATGTGAATATCATATGTCCAATACTACATTTATAAATTATTCCTACATTTTCATAATAATCACTGATTGTTTCTATTCTCTTCTATTCGATCTTCTTAACCTTCAGGTGCTAGACATTCCACTTTTGATTGGTGTTACATACTACTTATATTTGTCGACATATGTAGCACACACCACAGAAGTACAGTTAATGAGTAAATATCAAGAAAAAAAATGTTTGAATCACATTTATCATTAGACAGTAGTTACAAGTTGTTCTTTACTATGCAATTTTAAAAGTTAATGTAAAAGTGACTGCAATTAGTGAATACTATGCGATTACTCTTGAACACTATGCTCCTTAGTATTATTAGCTCAACACCTAATCATTGGGAAGACAAACCTTGACCTAACTTTGTGAAAAATCTATACTCGATGGTAAAATGTCGCATATTTTTAAATATTAAGGTACACTTTACAGTGATTATAAATTAAATTTAAATAATTTGGACTTAAATGAATATCACATGCTGAATGAATTACACAACAGACATTCTCAGATAGATAGTGACTAGCAGTGAAATCCTGAACGTGCTTTTCGTCCTGTTTGGGACTAGTCAGCTGGATGTATCTGCATCGCAGAGTGATTTTCACTCTGGGACTCGAATTCAGTACCGTTCACTTCAAACAACATCGCGTTATCCACTTAGCTACTGAGTCCTAATAGTCACTTGCTTGTGCAATGGGGTGAAGTTAAATACTATTGCAAATTTACAGGTGTTCAATCTCAAATAACTCTACCTGTAACTTTTCTAGAATTACTGCTGCTCCCAAGTCAGTTTAAAGGACGAGGGTTGGTCATGAGGTTAGCAACTTTATCTCGTAGAAAACAACATTGCTAAAAGTAAAGCATAACCTCAAATATATTCAAAGTATTGTTTACTTTGAAGAAACGACATGCAATTTACAATAGTTAGAACTATTTAATTTAAAGTGGAATATATATCCAAAACTTCCTATTCTACTCGATATTGTCATAATAGTTACTGAAATGACTATAGATCAAGAAATATAAGACAAATTCTATAGAGTTATGAACATGTTCAAAGAATCTAAGATATGCTCTCCTTTCAGTTCGGCCGATGTAGCTGCTTTGGCAGGTACACGTAAATTAATAAATACAGTTGGCGGTAACATGAAAGAGTTGTTTGTCGATCTTTGACTGGGCTATTGAACATGTTGGTTTATAGAGAATTAAAAGTTTAGCAGCCGGATAAGTTCTGGCTAGCGCTGTATTCAGTCTCTTGTTGATAATTTGTGCGACGTCATCACCTTTAAAGTTAAGATTTATATATACTGGTTTTTTATTGACCATAGTTATTTCCGTCTTCTTTTCCTTGGGCCTTTTATAATTGTCAATAAATTTTTGTGGATAAAAGTTGTCTACGTTCATTAATTCTTCTTCCAGTTTTTCGGTGGTGCATATCTTTTCTGCCCTGTAAAATAGTGTTTTAACCAACGCCTTCTTGTAACTAATTGGACAAAAACTATTGAAATTCAGGTAGAGGCCATTCCAATTACTTTTTCTATAAATTGAACGTTGAACTGTCCCGTCTCCCCTGCGTTTTATGGCAACATCAAGAAAGTGGAACATATCGTTCTGTTCGTGCTCCATAGTAAAATGTATGTTATTATGAGCGTTATTGAAGAGTTTGAGCAGGCGGATTGCATGTTGTTTATTATTACAGATAATAAATGTGTCGTCCACATATCTTGAGTATTCCGTTGTTTCACTAATTGCCTGTTTAAGTATCGTGTTCTCAAGATACTCCATAAAAATATCTGCCATAATTGGACCTAGTGGACTACCCATTGCTACGCCATCGACTTGGCGATATATGGTGTTGTTGAATTGGAATTGAACATCTGTTGTACATATTAGTAGTAGGTTTTTGAATTCTGGGGCTGGTAAAGGTAGGAGATCTTCATTCTGACAAATTATATCAATAGTTTCAAAAAGTGGTGTATTGATGAACAAGGATGTTACATCAAAAGAGACCATGAACTTGTCGTTAACATTCGTATGCTTTAGTCTTTCAGCAAACTGGAATGAATCTCTTAACGTATATGTTGCTAATCTACGACGAACCGGTTCGCGGTAACATGAAGCAGCTGACGAGAACCTACGAAATAAAATGAATTCATGCTATTCTGCTAGAATCTTTGTTCTTGCTCTTTTAAAAATGATAAAGGGAACTATGTGTATGAAATGTTATTGTTATGTTTGTGGAACTGCTTAACTGACTGGTGTTTGGTGCGAAAGACCTTAAATCTAACAACATGCAGTGAAAACACAAAGACTGTTGATTTGGATTTCTTTAATCCCTGGAGATAAATCAAAATAGTATATGAATGAATAACTTTTTATATGGTTTATTCACAATGAGATTTGTATAGACTGAAATGAATCGTATTGAATATCGATTAACCGATTGCCTGCTAATTGAACACATATGCCATATCCTGTGACTAATCACCTGTAATGAATAAACAGGATTAATTAATTAAGCCATATGATTATTCCTTTTCATGATGCTATTACATCTCACAGGAGGTCGGAAAGACTCAACTTCATGTATCATTTACATTGTGATCTATTAAGCCAGTGTTCACCATACCAATGAAACTTAAAAAGTAGGAGTTTTAGCTTATTGATTCATGGAGAAAAATTACAAATATTAAGAAAGCATACAATTCGGAATATTCCCAACGCAAACTACTAACACAAAGGAACTTTTTACTATCATGCCGATGTTACTCATCTGTAAGTAAAGTTCGGATAAATGAAGTTGGGCAATAGCTATCAGTGGAGTCCAGAACGTGTATTTTATTCTATTTAGGACTCATCAGCTCGATATAACCACATCCTAGTGTTAATGTTCCCATCGGGGTTCAAACCTACTATTTTTCGTTTCAATCATTTGAGTGAACCATTCCTTGTATTCCTCTACCCCATAACAGATGACTAAGTATTGAACCTTCTGTCATTCACGCTAACGCTTAACCTTTAAATCATTAAGCCAGAATTTAAAAGTGTACAAGCCTAACTTTAGTTAATCCGAAATATTGTGCAACCGTCTTTCATTGTATTCAGTGGGTAACTACCACATTTACAAGATTTTCGAATTCCACTAGTCACGGTTTTTCACTAGAACTCAAGAAATCTACTCTTCAATGAGTGTATGGTAATTGTCATTGTGTCGTTTTGATGATAATTGAAATCACGAACCGATCTAATTTAGACAATCATTAAAAACTTGGAAACACTATTTTTATTTAAACACATAAACATTGGTACAAGAAAGCACCAAACAGATATGCGTCACATAAATCATTCGATTTGTGTGAGGGCTGGGATACTACCCGAGTGCCCAGAACGAAGTAGGTGGCTTCCTTATGGGGTCACACACAGAGCCTTTGACCTAAAGGTCTGGTCAACAAGGCAGTGGAGCAACGTCAGGAGATGCAGTCTCATGGTGGCCGGTCACCAACGATTAGTTCGTACGCCATTTGTTCCTTCAGGATACTGGAGCCCATGTTGACCAGCGAACTATTGGTATCCACCAACCCGGTTAAAACCTCTGCCGGACATTCGATTTTCATCGTCTCAATTTTGTAAGCGACATTAATGCCGTGAGAAGGCAGTGAGTAGGACTTCCCTGAAAACGATTGTATGCACGTGTTCATGTAAGAGCATTTCGAGAGACGGGAGAGAACTTTCCCCACTCTCGACCATACCAGAGCATTTGAGGGCTATGATGTTCTGTAATTTTGTATTCAATTACATTCGATTGTCCACGCCTGTGTTCACGTTCACCATACGTATGGTCTGTAATTTATTTATACTTTATTTAAGGGATATGAACGTCAGGTCTAAGTTTATACCCATTAGTGTATTTCTCATTGAGAAGAATATTTGAACGTAGTTGGGTATTTTAAACCTAATTAGTATTAGGTGGTAATAAATAAGATAATTCATCATAATAACAGTTTTTCCTTTATTTTTTTTAAAAAAAGGATAAAGCTGTCTTTGTTACCACTTGGAAAATGAATAGACATTCTTAATCAACCAATCATGTCTTGGTTACTAGATACAGGCCAAGGCTACAGGATATATTTAACAAAAAGTCGATAAAATACACTTAGGACGTTTGATATGTAAATACAAGGCAAGGTAACAGATTACATCATACAAAAAACCGAATAAATGATTTCATTTTATCTAGTAAATTTGATGACTATAACAATGAATTTTGATTGGTTGGACAGTTTCATTGAAGTTATGTAGTGATTAAAGTCAAACAATCATTGTAAACTTGAAAGTACTGAATGGGTGTTTTGTTGGTATCGGACTCCTCAGAAGTACACATTTACGATCTTTCAAGTAAGAATCGAAATTGGAACCTTCGATTTCGTGCGTTAATGCTTAGCATCTCTTGACCTCTGAGTTGAAATCCAATAGTGTACAAGTTCAATTTCAATCAATCCACGACATTGCACGACCATCATCATTGTATTCATTAGGTAACTGCTTCACTTTCAACATGTTTTAGCTCCACAGGTCACGGATGCGTACTGTTGAGGAGTCACATACTAGAATGACACGACTGTTCAGTGCTTCGAGGTTTGTAATGGTGATCTAACTTGTAACGATTGGTGATTTCAATGAGATTCAACAATCTCCACAATATTACACTGAAGACTGATAAATTGTCTATTAATGTAAAACTCTAGATTCCAATTTATCTAAATTACTTGAATGATATTATATCTTGAATATCAACAAGAAAATATAAAATATCATCAGCACAAACTTCAAGTAGAAGTGAGGTTTGTGCTGACGATGTCGTTCAGAAGAATGATGAAAGCTTCACAACCGAACCATGCAGTTCAGAGAACAAAACTTCACCAAAAACATAGGCTATTATTGATAATTTCCAGAAATCTGTTTTCATGCACATCTCAGTTCCTTCGTCTTGAAAATTCCTGAGCCCAACCTGAAAACAAACAACATTAAACTTATTGTTCTTAAAATCTATTAAAAACTAGCTACCTTTTACTAACCTACAACAATGTTATTACACAACAAGATTATCTTTAAACCCGGGATAAAGTGTACTATCAGTTTATTTTAATAATCGTTACTACCGTAAGCAACTGAAAAAAAATCGGTGAATTGATTTTATTCTTCTATGATGATTGCTGTTGTCTGATGAAAATTTTTTAAAATGAAGGTTCTTATAAAAGATCGTACCTATGGAAGATGTATAATGTCTATCAGTAACCCATTGTATGATAATACTCTAGATTTGAAATAAATGTATCTGGGTTCAAATTATAATAGGTAAGATCTAAACCTTTCAGAACTTCAGTAGTTCTGTGCAGTTAGATATGTCGATTAACTCTCTATAGTTACATATAATAAAGTATAAAAGTGTACAAAAGCGAATTGTAATGATACGGTCAAAGCAAATATTAAGTACCCAATAAACCAAATGTACCTGAATGGTACTCTTTCTTCAAACAATTACAATCAATAATTAAGACAACTACACTGTATGATGATACTGTAGAATATAAAAAGTGATTAAATTGTTAAGAATGTAAACTGATTACCTGTCAAACAGGTATATGCGTCCATATTATACGAGTTTCAAATAGAGTATATCACTCTAGACTAAATTATCACTCACCATTTGCTAGAAGGTATATCAACTAACAGTAAGAATTTAGTAAACATATATTGCCTGTATTATATGAATGGTGTAAGTAAACTGTTCAGATGAACTTGAGGAATTCTGAAGGAAACCTTGAGTTCCATCAATTAAACAACAGTCGATCAGAATAGAGTAAGGTCTTTAAAAATTCCTCAAGACCATCAGTGTAGTTTAGCTCTACTATGTGAAGTTATAAATAGAATTACCCATTTTATTTTAACTAACTGTCAATATCATCACACTTGATGGAGAAGATTTGGAAGATGTAAAAACCTTCACATATCTGGGCAGCATCAGTGATGAAAATGGTGGATCTGATGCAGATGTGAAGGCACGGATCGGTAAAGCAAGAGCAGCATATTTACAACTGAAGAATATCTGGAACTCAAAACAACTGTTTGTCAACCAACACCAAGGTCAGAATTTTCAATACAAATGTCAAAATAGTTTTACTGTATGGGGCAGAAACCTGGAGAACTATGAAAGCCATCATATAGAAAATACAAGTGTTTAATAATAGTTGTCTACGCGAAATACTATGGGTCCGTTGGCCAGATACTATCATCAATAACCAACTGTAGGAGAGATTAAACCAGATGCCAGTGGAGGAAGAAATTCGGAAGGAGCTCTGGAAGTGGATAGGACACACGTTGAAGAAAGAACCCAACTGCGTCACAAGGCAAACCCTCAAATGGAATCCTCCAGTTCAAAGGAGAAGAGGAAGACCAAATAACACATTACGCCGGGAAATGGAGATAGACATGAAAAAAATGAACAAGAATTGGATGGAATTAGAAAAGAAGGCCCGGAACAGAGTGGGTTGGACAATGCTGCTCGGCGGCCTATGCTCCATTTGGGGTAACAGGCGTAAGTAAGTAAGTTAGTAAGTAACCGTCAATATCTACTAGAATCTAGCACCTAACACTTCAAAGACTAGACAGCAACTTGCTGAACGAAAGAGATGAAATAGAATTTCTAGTGTAGATTGAATAGCGGTACAGTAGAAGAACTAGTATTGTCATATATCAGTTAGAATTTATTACCAGACAGCGAAGTTGGATGATACAGGAAATATAGGTTTACACAAGATTACTTATTCACGTTACTAACCAGTATCAAAAATATTACAAAACCTAGGTCCATGGTTCTTTTTTGACTGCCTCTCAAACCACACAGTGATTGTGATGTCAAGTCACTAATAAAATCCCTTTAGTGGTATTCAATTATCGCAGAAAAGACTAAATAAACATGACTTTCGCCACTACTTAGTGATCAATTAGTTGTAGATATACGATCATGTTGTATTTAAGTAACACACTTATTTAAATCATAGAAAATCACTGATAATAAGATTTACGGGTACATATTGTAATTAGAAAGAGGTTTTGTGAATATGATAGACCCGGTTGAACTCCACTGGTCAAGTTGTGCGACAGTAACTCACTGAAGACAATGGTGGACGATAGAACAATTTCGCGGATTGGTTGAAGTTAGACATTAACACAGTTGGATGCTGACTGACTCAATGGTCTAGACACTAGGCATTTGCGCGAGAGACTGAAAGTTCTGGGTTCAAAACCCTCGGCGCACTGCTGAAATGTCCCATACTAGGATGAACCAGTCGTCCAGTGCTTGTAGGTTTTCCATGGTGGTTTAGCTTCAATCGACTCATGAAATCAACTATTAGATTACATACTGTAATGTTTTTAAGATTTGAAATTGCAACATTTCGAAGAACAACTCCTAGAGACTAGATAATAATTGATATTATACCTCTCTTATTTTACTTTTGACTCTTAGTTTACATATGGACAAAAATCATAAGAAAATTCATTTCATCTTTGGCCATTTCAGCCTTTATAAAAATGCAGATTATTTGTTGATTTGCAATTCTTGAATAATAACAATACTGATGACCTTGAGGAATTGCAAAAGCAACCATGTGATTAAACGATCAAGCATTAGTCAATCAGAATGCAGCGTTTGTAACAGGAATGGATATCACGAAAAGAAAAAAAACGGTCAATATACAAAGAATGTAGAGTTTTTGAATGTTAGTATCCTAAATGCGATACTTCTAATGTAGTGAACGAGAATACAAATAGGGAAAATCTCCACAACTCCTATACTAGTAATCAACATATGCTCACTAATGACTAGCTTCGTGAGGGAATTGTCGAAGTTCTAGTGAGAAGCCCTGATCAGTGGAACTAATCCATGTCGGGTAGAGACAGGTATCTACCTCAGTACAATGGAAGTTGGTCGCGAAATTTCGTGGATTGGTTGATGTTAGACACTATCACCATTGGATGCCGGCTCAGTGGTCCAGTAGGTTAAGTGTTCGCGCGAGACCGAAGGCCCCGGGTTCGAACCCCGCCGCGGGATCGTGGATGAGCACTGCTGAGAAGTCCTACAATAGGACGAAATGGCCATCCAGTGCTTCCAGGTTTCCAAAGGCGGTCTAACATTAATCGGTTCATGATCTCAATTAAAAACAATCGAATGTATTTGAACACAAAATTACGGAATCACTTAGTAAAATCCGAGAATCATACAGTAAATAGATCATTTCCAAAATGTTAAACAATCCTCTCAGACTTCGTTGTTCTTCTATTTCTATACCAATTATTCTTTGATCACATTCTCTTCTCTTCGATCATCTTAAATTTCTGTGATCAGGCATTCCACTTTCGATTGATGATACATACTACTTATATCTATCAACATTAGTAGCATACACCAAAGTAACACTAAACATCTTAAACCTAGTATTTCTGACAGTAACACTTTTAAATGTAATATTTTAATCTCTAGACTTCACATCCTCTCTGAATATCATTTCTTAACTAGAGCTAAATAAGTTGCTTTTCTTATTAAACTAACATTCTGTAGTTGATCTACGATCAAATGACCATCGAGCTTAGAGAAAACGTGAAATCTCACCAAAAATATTCTATCCGGTAGCACGCTATCCATTATTTCACTTTAGAAGTTGTTCATGGATTCAACAATCCTTAATTTCCTGCTAATTAATCGATTCTATTTATTTCATATAAGTCAGTATAGTTTAGTTCTACTATAGGAGTCTGTTTCGTATTATAGTACTTAAAGAAATATTCATGGATATGTTAAAACAAACAAGAAAACAGATAGCTTATTGGAAATATCTAGATGGTAGGAAACAAATAGCCCAGATATTCAAGAAGATTGCCTTAGGGTTGATAACTCCTGTAAAAGCGATTAAAAACGAATGAACTCAATATGACTAAGAATCATATCATTTAATTGACTTGCTTTAGTTTTCCAAATCCAGGAACGCATACTTAATGATCACGCTGAATTTATGAATAGTTTGAAAAGTATTGATGATTATATGCTTGAAAGCTCTACATTTTGTTTACCTTCAACAACCATTTCTTATAACAGTATAATAAAACGTATTTTGTTCAATAAACCATTGAATATTTTACTTGTAATAAACTTAACTACAGTTGAACTAGACGTTAGTGCAAACTACTTTTCAATATATGGCACTTTGTTTTCAAAGTACCACAATATGATATTGTTTTCTTAACAATAACAGATGATATATATCTATCTTCCCATATCAGTATTATGGTAAATATTAAGATACATGATCCGACTGTTAAATGTGATCTGAAAAGCTATTTTGTTTACAAACTACTAGCTGCTATACATGAATAAGGAATAGGAACGTGGATAATTCGTAGCTAGTTAAACATAATAAAAAATGTTATAGGTATCAGTTATTATTTATTTATTTTAACACATAGATATTGGTACAAGGAGGCATCAAATACATATGCGCCACACAAATCTCATTCGATATGTATGAGGGCTGTGACACTGCCCGGGTGCCCAAACCGAAGCAGGTGGTTTTCATCAAGGGGCACTCCCCGAGCCTAAGACCTGAAGGTCTGATCCACAAGGCAATGGGGCATCGTAAGGGGATTCAGTCACATGGTAGCCGGTGACCAACAATTGGTTCATATGCCATTTGTTCCCGCAGGATGTGCACCATTGGTTTGCAACCCGATTAAAGCGCCGGATGTTCGTTTTTCGTCCTCCCAACAACACCCCCGTGGTGAGAGAAGGCAGTGAGTAAGACTTCCCTGGCAGAGGCTATCTACGCGTGGCTGTATGAGAGTATTTCGAGAGGGAGAGCGGACTCTCCCCACTCTCGGCCGTAACAGGGCATTTGAAGGCTATAGGTATCAATACCAAGGTTGAACTTTTTAGTTTCAGATAAATTGAGCATT